GAAAAGCGTTGAAAATTATTTCCTCTGAAGTGGATAGGGAACATAAATTCATAAACTGTTGTTATGATCTGTGCATGGTCCTTAGTAGGCGCAAATTAAATAGATTGGAAAAATTTTAATAATCATGGAAATATAATTGTTTAGTAGAAAAGTTTTATCAAAACATCATTGTTTTGATAAAAATCAGACACTTCGAACACCGGAGAAAATGTAACGGAGCTGCAATTATTGTTTTACTTCGTGCTACGGAGAGAGACACTTTTTCTAAAGTAACGCAGGTATGTTGAAAATCTTTCAATTTTTTTGCAACCGTCAAACCGAACAATCTCTTTAAAGTTGCGGTGCCAATGGAGTTGTGGTGCATACGGTGGAGTGCAAAGGGTTTCAAAACGTACAGAAAGGTGCACGTGTAAACGTTCATTAACAGACGTTGACGCGCTCCGCGTGATGTCTTCTTTGTTAAAAAAAAAAGAAAAAAAAAATAGACAAGCAATAAAACGCTAATCAATCAGAGGTCAGCAGCGTCTGTCGATGGACGTTCGAGTAAAATAAATGTATTTATTCAGCGGCTCGCATGGTGTAGTACTTTCAGCTGAATATTGATTTAGAAAAAGAAAGCACTATTAAGCGTTTAGGTAGCATGAAGGCATGTGTCGTGCGTTAGTAATGGCGGATTAAGCGGCGAACGAAGATGGAGATGAAGCACTTGGTTCCTCTTTCGTTTCGAGGAAGACCACTGACGTGTCGGAATTGCCAACCGTTTTGGCTTGTATTGAGCATACAAATTAGCGTCTTTCAAACGTTTTCTGGTCTACAGATTCATAGAGGGATTGGAACAGTGCTATGATATGATTCCAACGGGAGAATCGGTTTCTATATAGCTGATGCGCGTTGTAGCGCGTCGATGTTCAAAGTAATTCGCCTCTGGGGACGAGAGTGAAAATGAAGAACTGGACGAAGGAGAGAATATCATTCACACACTCGACCACGATACACAGCGATCTATGGATCGCGAGTTGAGCGATGTTTAAGCCTCACGTTCGTAGGAACGCTTGTGTCTGACCTAGTGTAACCGTTGCTCGGTTAAATTTCACCTAATTTTTGTATTTGGTCCAAGGAATTGACTTTCGAACGGTTCGACGAAGGAAGAGGATAACGAGAGTGATCTTTGTGAAAATAGTAGGGATAGATTGGTGAGATTCTCACGATGAAAATGAGTCCAAACACGGCGTAAATCGGACTAGATTTACCAGTAGTCAATATTTTATGGTATGGCAATTTTTTATGGTGCTTTCAGAATTGAATATTGTTAAGATTAGTCCGATTTATATCGTGTTTGGGCTCATTTTCATCGGGAGAACCTTACCAATCCGTTGGTACTATTCTAACAGAGATAGGATCAAAAATTATAGTAATTGTATTTTTCATCATTGGATTAACGCGTCTCCTTCATTCTCGCTATGCCTGTTCGCTTTCCTTGCCGATGTGTTTAAGTGTTTTGTGAGCTCGAGGTTAGGTTATGTTAGATTCGGTCGTTCAAATTTAACCGAGCACATGTGTAATAGCCTAATAGGGAATTTATAGAGGACAGTTTTGAAGTCTTCAGGGTGCACAAAGTGTCCAAGTGAAGCTGATTTCCTTCTACTGTTTAACCGGTGTGTAATCAGAAATACCACGGGTGAAACAGGATTTTTCTTAAAATATTATATATCTATCGCTAATTTTTCCGAGATATTTAGATGAAATTTTCCCAGTAGCTAAAAAATTTCTGTAGAGCTACAAAGTAGCAAATGAACATCGAACGAGAAGTATATCGATCTGAAAAACGTTTCCATTTAAAGAATGGCGGCGAATGATCGACCGAAATCGGCTGAAACGGACCCAAATCGGCTTGCGGGATTAGAAAGGTGAAATATTGAAGTAAAAGTGTCAGACAGAAGTGTATCCACGTGATGGGTGGACGATGAAGGAGCTCTGAGGGGAGATTGGTGTCGCCCGAATTGGACTTTTTATAAATTCAGACCCGCGTATTCGTCACGTAGAGATGCGAAAATTGTGCAATACCGATCCGCGTGGACGAATAAATCGCGCGCCCCTCTCTACCGACCTCTTCCCTGGGACGATTTCTTCTGTGAAGAAGATGGCGACGCCACGTGTTCAAGCACACGACAGCAATCTCTTTCGTTCGTTTCTCGTCGGGAAGGAATATATTCAGAAGCGTCGAAAGCTTTTTCGTTTCTGGGATATTCTTTCGAGAGAGCTGTTTTATCGGAGTTTCCACGCCGAGGTTGGACATCGTAGCAAGACACATTTAGTAGCAATAGACACGTCCAATGAAAAAGACTATTGAGAGTACAGCTGTGATTCAAACTGAATTCGATCTTGGACGACCTCCACTCCTCCGCAAGGAGGCTAGCTAATCGTGTTTCAAGCAGGAAACTTTCTTCCTCTGTGGTCCTTAGTGAAAGAAATTAGCAGTAGTGGCGAAAGAAAACGATTAAAGGAACCTTCGTTATTCTCGATTATTTTCCCGGGGATTCTCGTCTTGGTGAGCAATTTCGGCGCCATTTAGCTAGCTACGATAGTACTTCACCTTCCCCCACGCCACTCGGAATAACCTGGGTTCCATTATTCTCTTCGTTCAATCGACTTTATACAGGGTGTTTCAATTGGTTGCTGACAAATTCATACCAGCGTTCGTAAAGTTCGTACGAATCCGTGTGCTGCAGTGATTTTTATCAAAGAGTTACAGGGAATAGGATAATCCTTGCCCAGTTGGAAATTGTCAAAAAATAGATTTTTCTTTTGGACGCAAAATTGAGAGTACTTTTGAAAAATATGGTCCTACAATGTTAAAGACGAGTTCGTTAAAATAACGAAGTTACATAGCACATTTACGGAGATGCTTCAGGGCTCCAGCTTTAAATTATGTTCCTCAAGTTCGCGTGCAGAATAACTGAAAATGTAATCGACCAATCAACTTTGGATAAAGTCCATTCTTTCTATCAAAAAAAATTGCTTTGTCCTCGCTAGTTTAGCCAAAAAAAAAAAAAAAGAAATTCCTCAATTTCACCTCCTGAACGCGCTGCATCAACTTGCCACTGACCTATTTATCGAAACACCCTATATATACATATATAGTAGAAGAGAGAGAAATCGATCGAAGGATCGCACAGGATGCGTCTGGTTGAATCAATCTGGTTTTAAAATATAACACGTTCTGTAAATATGAAACAAAAATAAGAAAATGTGAGCATATATAACGGGTGTCGTAAATGAACAGGACTGCGTTCCCCTGTAAAGAGAGAGAGAGAGAGAGAGAGAGACACACACATACACATAGAAACAGACACGGTGTTTTTCGAGCTGCACAAAACTTATATAGTTCGCGAGGGGTTGTTTCCTTGTTCTCGTAACACGCGCGCGGTTCATTCATGTGTACACGTACTGAAAAATGCGTAAATAACGTCTACCCTTCTCTCGTATGAAGCAGTGTTCATCCTGAACTTATTATTGCTGTGTAATAATTACCATTAGAGGAGAAACGAGGGGGAGAAAAATGATGATTTGAGGAATGATGAAGGTGATAATAATAATAATAATAAAAATAACGAATAATGAAATAATAATGATGATAAATGATAACGATAGTAACGAAGATGAGGTTGTTGAAAGCGTTCGCGGAACGCGGGATTCGAGTCGACACATTTATTTGTGATCCGGACATTTCCGTTCGTATTCTTGTTTCAATCTTTTCGTTGTAAAATGATCGACTTGTATTATTTGAATGTATACTCGTACACCTTGACCCTATAACGATGATTAATAAAATATTTTATGTCACTAAATGATTTTCTTTGTTTTTTGTTTTTTTTTTTTTTCTCTGATAAGTTGAACGATAAGAAATTTGGAATTTCGTTGAAATGTAACATTAGGTTGTCCGGAAATAAATTGCGGTTTCTCTACATGAGATTTAAAGACGTGTAGTTTTGCTTAGAATGAATTTATTTAATTTAGATTCTATACACTTTTTCCAACGTTTTGCAACTGTTCCTATTCCGTTACAATGAAAATCAGGAGTCCTAGAATTAATAAATTCCACGAAGGTATTTACAGCATCCTCTTTATTGCGGCAGATTTTTTCTCGCAAAAAGTTATCCAAATGTTTAAAAAAATGGTAATCTGTAGGGGATAAGTCGGGGGGAATAAGGAGGGTGTTTTAATGTTTCACAACCCAATTCGTGTATCTTCCGAATCGTGAATTGTGATACGCGCGGGTGGGCATTATTGTTTACCAAACTTGCTTGTTCAACAAATAACTTTTTATGCATTATGATCATTGGTTGTGCTTTCACCGACTACACGATTGAGATTACGTCCTAATTTAAATTCATATAAAAATAAAGTACGAATTTGCTTCTTGTCCATTGTTACGTTCTTAAGTTACACTCAGAACAAACGACGGTAAAAAACAAAAGTCTACGCGTTCAAATGGTAGATTACTTAATGAACATAAATTTAAAATATATATAGTATAGAAAAGCCCGAAATATGACATAACAGAAAACCGCAATTTATTTCCGGACAACCTGATAGATCGTGAATTGATTAATGCGAGAGGAGGTTTCGGTGATGGAACCGGAATAATGAGAAAATTTTTACGGATAAATGAATAATTTATTTTATTCTCTTCTTTTCTTAAGACAGAATCTTTTTTACCTTGCATACATTTGTACTTGAAAAGAACGATTTGCTTTGTTCTATTTTTGTTTCAAGACAAAATTGTTCACTTTGCGGAAATTGATGAGAAACAAATTCTCCACTCTAGAGAAGAAAATCCTGTTACTAATTTTCTCGAAGAAATCATGGAAAATTTGACACCTATTTTCAGTAAGTTCGTCTCGGATAATCGGAAGATTGTTCGAAATTTTTGATTCTCAAAAAAAAAAAAAAGTTCATCCGACGAAGATCTTTTCTCTTTGTGAAATCAATTTGGACTTCTAATTGGTCAAGTAGCCGCTCAGTTCGTCGTCAGATCGTTTGAAATCGGCTATGTAGCCGCAGCTGTGAACAGAATGAGGAGTTCTGTCTTTTGGACTGAGGATGGAACGTAAATTTCCATCGCAGCTCAAGTTCAGGGACATGTCCCTCTGGAGGTCCGTGCAACGGCCAACCTCGAAGTCCATGTCGACCTCTCTGCTCCTTCGATTCTTCGTGAACAGCAGCTCCAGGCTGTAAATAACGCTGACCAGCTCCTCCTCCAGCTGAGGATCGCACGAAAACGAGACCATACCTGGCTCGCAACCGGGGGCGCCTGTTGAATCGATGAATAATTGTACGTTAATGGATCGTGCTTAGAATCGTTAATTTATCGAACGTTGGCGGCACTCGAGGTCTTTATCTTTTTAACTTTCTTTTCAATTGCAGGAGTTTCTGGGTAAAAAAGAATTATTGTACAGGTGTTGGTCCATCGATCACTTTACCATTTAAACATAGAACAACTTTTTTCATATTATTTTGAAAATTTAACACTGGAACAACCAAACTCGTCAAAATGGCGGATTTCAGATTTCGTACTTTAAGTTACAGAAATGATTAAGATGCCATTGGCCAAGTATGTGGTGACTTCTGTTGAAATAAACAAATAATTTATTTTCCGTTGATCTTTTTAGATTCGATAGTTCTCTATATAGCATACCTAAATAAAGCAGAAGGGGAAGGTGTACTACATTCAACTCCGGTTGGTCTAGTGTTAAGGATTGAATTTTTAAACAGTAAAGTGATTTATTGGCTACACTGTGTTATTCAGTAGAATGGCAATTGAATGATTTTTATTCATTATAAATGGCTGAAAATTTGTTTATTTTTGGATACCGGGTGGATTAGTGGGGATAGTATGTAATGTTTCGCAGATTATTTGGATAATTTTTGTGCTGGTTCAGAATATAGGTGACAATGATGTAAATAATTTTTCTGCTTTTTTACTACTAGTGAATTCAACCATGATAGCGTAAGTAAGTGTATATTTATGAATTCGTTGTAATTAATTATTCAGCGTTGACTGTAGAAAATATATTTCATCGCTGCTTAGATTAACTAGTTCAATTGATAACTTTGAGGTTTCTAAATTTTTTGTCCACTTATTTCTTATATCCAAGGTTAATTGCTAATTTTGAAAAATCTTTTCTTATATTCAAGGTTAATCGCTAGTTCTGAAAAATTTTTCGTTCACCTTTTTCTACTTTTTATCGAACGTCACGAATGTTAATTACTACAATTAAATTAGAATTTTTTGAAAATGTTTTCTATACTTTTATCTGTCCTTTGCATCTCTTCGGAATTTTCAACGATCGAAAATTTATAAAAATGCAATTTTAAATGTAAAGATCGGAATTTCAGGATTTGTCGATTTTTGAAATTTGGAAATTATTTAACCTTGGGTGTCCTGCACCGTCTCCCAGCGGACAAGCGCCTCCTGCAGAGGTTTGTAAAGCTGTCGCCTGTTAGGACAGCACCAGTTTGCCACTTTCTCATCCAATTGCACTCTGTCTTCCGTGCCGAGCTGGCTCCAGCTTATGAACAGCTGCTTCAGTCGCGGCACTGTCATAGAACCCCATCATAAATACGCATCTATGGCCAGTTTACAGTCATCAATCAGTCTCGTTAGTAATCGATATCGAAAATTTGGAAATCTGCCAGGAAAACTTCAATTTTGTACGAATCGCGAAAAATTTCAAAGGACCAAGAAATATAGCAGACCGCTGGATTGTAGTTCCCTTTAAAAAATATTGAAAAATTTCGTCAAAGTTTTATTCAAGAAGAACGAAGAAAGATTAAAAATCGAAATAATTTCCATTATCGGCGATGACATTTTTCCATTTTTCTGACAGCTTGTGAAACACCGCGATAGAAACTCGGTGGCTTTGAATCAATTATGCAAATTCGATCGGAAAGGATTCATTTCCACACTTGATACGATAGGAAAATTTTCAAAAATTGGAACGCGAAATAAAGAATTTCGAGTGGAAAATAACGATACGCTAAAGTTTCCAAGTATTCGAGTTTGAAATAAAACAAATCACGAATATTAAATAATTTAAAATTCCGAAGAATATATTTCTTCTAAACGGATGTCAACCTTTCTCCACAAATGACAGGTTATACCAAAAATTTCGTCACACCACGGTGTCTTTTTACAGAGAACGAGGTATTGGTTTTCGGGTTGGACAGACCTTCAGGGATCAGAACAAATATCGTGTCACATATCTGCTCGAAGACAGACTCTTCCATCGATTCATCGGCGTCGTTGTCGTGGCTGATGGTGATCGTGGATTTAGATTGCATCGCGCATTTTTAGCCTCGCGGGAATTTCTGTCATTTCGCCCACGATACGCGAGGAGAACGAGCGAAAAAAAAAGAAGCAAAAACGTTGCAACATTCGCAGACGAATCTCGAAATATCTTTATTTGTCGGTCGATTGCGACTATCGATGGTCGAATCATTTGTTAATTTTGATTTTACTGAATTTTTCTAAGATTCACCTTTTGCTTCCATGCCTGGAGATTAATTTTTGCTAATATCTTTTACAGTGTATTTTTTAACGGAACAAAATAAAAGGATCATTTGTAGAAGTATTGTTCAACATTGACAGAATTAGAAAGTAAGGTTAGTTTTTAAATTAATTCTAATTTTCTTATTCCTAATTACAGTTCGTTGAAATTTTAATGAATTTGTTATTTAAAATTTCTAGCTTTAGAAATTCTTCATTTCCAATTCTAATTTTTACATAAATCTGTGTATTTCATTTTTATTTCACTGCCAGTTTTAGGGTTTGAATATATTCCGCAGGGTAACAAATTTTTCTATCCTAGATTCGAACCATATGGTTCGTGTCCATGGTAAATTTAGTCATATTACCCCGATCGAAATTTCGATGGTAATATTTCGTTCTATCCAATGGATACAGACTAAAACTATTCGAAAAATATTAATTTAAAAGAAAATGATTGTTCACACAAATATCTAGGCTCGGAAAACCGAAATTATTAACGAAAGAAATAGTTGTTATGCTTCACGTTTAAATAAGGGTTCGAAAGCTCGTAAGATTCCAAAATGGCCGACGAAGATTGTATAAACCCCGAGTTCCTTAGTGTTCTCGAGGAATTCACCAGGATTCGAGACGTACGCTGAATTTCTTCGTCATTTTTTCACCTAATTTCTAGCATTTATTGAAAGAGACCTTAATTTTTCGAAATATCAACAGGCATACGTAGCGTTAGAAGCTTACCATAGAATGCAAGAAGAAACGCTGCACGTGGAACAAGAACGGTCTGAGAAAATGCAGGAAAATCTGGAAAAGCTTTCGAAAACTTACGTGTTGCGCGACAAACAATACAAATCGGTCGTCGATGAATTACAAAAGGATAATGAGAATCTTCGCAAGACAGTCGAGAATCTGAGGGAACAGTGTGATCATTTGCGTTTGATCAACACCGATCGAAACGGAAATGACGAACAAAGTAACCTTACATACAATTCGTTATTTTTCCAATGTCTACACCGTGTATCAAAAATTTCGAACTTTGAATTTAACCATTTATTATGGTGGAATGGAAAATAGAGGAAAGAAAACTATGATACATACCATCGTAAGATTGGCAACTCTGCTATTAAAAAAAAAATTTTTCTGTTTAACTTAAAAATTGAGATCTTGCAGAAGCGTTTTTTAAAAAATTTATCTATCCTTCGTACCTCTACGAAGAATTTTTAAACTACGAGAATTTCAAGTATAAAATTTCTGAATTTTGGAAATTATTTCATTTCAAATATCTCCCAAATTTTTCGTATCTCCTAACATTTTCTAACTTGTACTTTTCCTTTCCTCTATAAATACGCTATTAATCGTTTATTATTATTTCATCGAGTTATCAAACGTAAATCTGCTGATAATTGATTGTTACAGACGATTAATTTAGAATTATCAGTTGTAACGTGAATTGATCGTTTATCAGCATTGTTTATCCTCGATCATCGAATCTCGTTCGATTCGCAGTTTTAAAGTCCAGCAACCTCGATTCACGATTTTCGATTGTTCGTGAACCAAAAGTTTCTTGTCGTTATAACTTTATCTCTTATCAAGTTATCATTTATCAGTGATTACTTCCAGGTCATCGATCATTGGTATTAATTAAGCGTCAATATTGTTTGCTTCGTTAATTCTTACGTTGCTTTTAATACAGTGGGCAGATTGCAGGATGAATTGGAGGTTTTAAAGGCGCAGATACTGATGCAACAAGAACAACACAACGAAGACGTTGCTGTGTTAAAACAGAAACATTCTGACGAGATTCAGAGGTATCAAATGTTGTTGAAGAACGCGAAACAGGGCCCCGCAGTAATTAAATATGCTTACTTCTAACGGGTGTAACAACAGAATGTGACGATTTTCAAAAAAATTATTGTGGAATACTCGGGTTAAATTTAAATAAAACACTGTTTTCACTATTTATTAATTATTTTTTGAAAGTAACATCGAACATAGTACCATCGAACCAATTAAAACAAACCGTAACTGATGAATAATAATGATAATGATAAATGAAGATAACGACGAGTAATGTTTCATTCATCATAATACGTATTTTTAATAATAATTTCAACCTGATTGGAAGAATGTTCACTGTCGAGAAAGGCCGGTTGAAAAATGTTATTTAAAAAATAATAAATTGCATTATACAACAATTTTTGAAATAAAACTGTTTCGTTTCATTTTAACACGTGTATTGTAGAATTTCTCTTTGAAAATTCTCGCATTCTGTTGTATTACCTAATGTACAGGGTGTTTCGTAACTGCTGGTACAACAGCGAAGGTTAAAAAAATTATATTCCATATTATTTTTTCATGTTGTACTACTAGTTACGGGACACCCTGTGTATATACATGAATTTTTGCAATTCCTGGAAAATAGAATTTCTGCTTGTTCTTAAAATTAGTCTGAATCCAAGAAGAGGGGACCACCAGAGAATTCCAGCAAAAGTAAAAATCAATCTTCGTATGTTAGGTATTCAATTCGACTATTTGAACGTGAAGGAAGTCTACTTAAAAATCATACGTGAAAAAACGTTATCGTGAAATTTTAATATGACTCTTGAGTAGACGCCTTTTAACTTATACAAAGGGGGGACCATAAGTCGAGCAAAACTGAAACAAAAGTTTTTACAATAGAAAAAATGTTATTCAATTCTCCTGGTGTTTTCACGGTGACAATTCGAATCTGAATTATAGATGGCTAGAGTTGAATATAAATAAGATAAACATTTCGGCGAAGAGCAACGAGGAGACCGGAAGAAGGAACAAGAGGAGGAAATTATTTAGCGAGAATACAGAAAATACGATCGATATTCTTTAAAATATCCATTTCGAATTAATTGTATTAACAATACATCGAACAGTATAAAATATATTAATTTACTTTATCATAAGATTACCTTCGTCTGATTATTTATATGTATATACGTACGAATTAAACTAGCAATTAATTTTTGGCTCGATTCTAACGTTCTTAAAGTATAGGATATATTACATAAATAATCTGGGTACATGTTGATATTTCGTTTCTTCTCTCTCTCTTCTTTCTTTTTTGGAAAAATTATTAATCGCTGATTATTTAGTGATTTTTCGATTCAGTGAATTCCAACTGTTCGTGTAATCGATTTTTAGATGTCCATACGTGTTCAGATCGAGATGCGGAGGAGGAATAATTTGTACCATGTATTTTTCTTGCTCGATCGATCGATAGTCTTGTCGCGAACGATAGTCCGGGATATCTGTGAAAATGAACCGTCTAATATTATAATATTCATCGAAATTCAATTTGAAAAAATTACACAAGTATCTGAAAAAAATTGGCACGTTTAAATTAAGTTGAGTATAATTGAAGACTCGACATGAAAGAGGCTGTTAGGTAAAGGGAATAATTTTTTAGTAATCAAAGTGTTGTTTATCGACAAATATATGAAAACTTGAGAAAGGAAATATGAAAGTGCACTTAACAGACTTTTTCCTATCTCCGAATAAATCAATTTTAAATTCTCACCCGTTTCTATAGAGTCCATCGGTGTTAGGTTAGGAGGCTCAGCACTGAAGGATCTTAAAAAAGATCATTTTACGATCATCAGAAACCGGTTAAATTTTTCAAATTTGAATAATCTGTAAATTATCGAAAAATACCTGTGCAAATCTCTCATCGAGCTGGATATGTACCTGTGTCGCCTATGGTCTTCCATAAATTCACCATGTCTCACTTCTGAAACAAATAAACAATTCCAATTTAAAAAATTAAATTCTTATTTAATTTGATTAATGTTCATTAAAATATGAACGATCCATATACAATTCAGAGGTGAATAATTATAATAGACAATTTGCTTATTGTTACAAGCAACAGGTGCATAGGTATATATACAAGGTGTCGAGCAGCACAAGTTTCTACTAATCTAAAAATCAAAATTAAAAAAAATATTTATTTATTTATTTATTTCCACGGTCCATCGTTTGCCTCTTTACATATTCAATGGCTCTCGTATTTTGCGTGTGACGGTCGATTTTGGAGGGAAAGTAGTAGCAGACCGTTCATGGTCAGACAAACTAGTCTCGTTCGTTCGATTAGCAAAGTTCGATCGTGTAATCCGGCTGATTAACGTCTTGTTACGTGGAGGTCTTCGCGTTTAACCGGCTCCAAGTGTAATCTGCTGTCAGCTAAGCGGGCGTAACGACGCCCACCGACGCCTTCGCGTGTTCTTTTTTTTCGCGGATTCAGAACGAGGACGTGGAAATCGTCCCGATGACACGTAGAATATCGTTTAGAACGCTTTCTGATGCACCGGGGAGAGTTAGAATTTTTCCTTCGTTCGATTCAGCTGATGGAGCGTCGATATTCGTGAAAGGAGATTTCTTTTTTTAATCGTTTGAATTATTTAGAACGAGTGAATTTTAGAAACGGAGAGTATTCGAAATTTTCAGAAATTATTTTTGGGACGTCGAGAATTAATTCCATAGATAGTTCTGTTCTTTCATTTCGTAGAGGTTAAATGTATGCGTTGTTCTATGTTTCCTTCTTGCACAAAAATTGAAGGACAGATTTTTGCGGTAAGCTCAGATGTATTTTGAACTATTTAAAAAAGAAAACAAAATGAAGAGCTTTGTGATTATTAGCTCTCGTTCTATTTTATCATGCAAATTGGACACTTATGGAACACTCTTTGTATCAATCTTGAAATTTTTTCAAATTAGAAAAGGATGATTTAATTTTTCGTTCGCCAAAATTTTACTCGATTCAATCCCATGGCAAATAAATAAGAAAAAATAGTAATTTTGAAAAATTGAAAAGAATAGTAAAAAAGGAATAATCAAGAAACACTTATGGCACGAATTATGACCCAGATGAAACGAAAATCGGCAAAAATTTCCGCAACTCTTACATCTCGTAAGATTCAGTTTATTATTTTAATTTCAATTTATGAAAAATTCAATTGTAAAATTATAAATTATAAAAAATTCTATTGTAATTATAACTCAGAAAAAGTCACAAGAGACCGAGATTAAGGAAGTTAGAAAATTCAGCCAATTTTCACTCGATTACCATCTCGAGTGTAGAAGTCGAATTAATTCCTCGTAGTGGCACTTCAGCGATGGAAAATCGTCACGAATGAAGCTGTCACCGGTGCGTGCATTAAATTGCGAATCTATTTATTCGCGGGTGAAAGCAGAGGTGTTCGAAAGCCGCTGAAAAATAACAATAATAATTGTGTTCGTCGAGGACGCACACCGCGTGTGACGATTCGTCATGGCGATAGGGACTTTCTAGGACACGATAGAAATCGTGGTCGAGTTATTGCGACGCGTGACGAACCGCGACAATACAGGCTTCTCCTATCGATCATCGATTCGTTCGTTCCAATTATCCTTATCTGTCCTCGTGATGTCAGAGAACAATGACTATTCGACGATAATCGTCGTGCCAAATATAATTTACGAGGTGCAACGAAAGGACGACAAACTTCTTCTATCTAGGAATTATAAGAAGTGGAACAATTAGGTTAGGTTGGCCAGAAAACAATAACTGCTTGAAAATAATCATTGTGCCGAATACAATTTATGCGGTGTAACGAAGGAATAATATATTCTGGAGATCATACGGATGAAAGAAGTTTACGTGAACTAGTGTCCAAGTGTTTTGTTTGGGAGTTACACGAAATAGAATAATTAGATTAGGTTTTCCATCCGGATGAAAGAAGTTCATATAAGCTTGCGTCCAAAAGTGTTTTATTTGGGAGTTACAAGAAGTAGAACAATTAGGTTAGGTTAGGTTTTCCATCCGGATGAAAGAAGTTCATATGAACTTGTGTCCAAAAGTTTTTTATTTGGGAGTTATAAGAAATAGAACAATTAGGTTAGGTTTTCCATCCGGATGAAAGAAGTTCATATAAGCTTGCGTCCAAAAGTTTTTTATTTGGGAATTACAAGAAATAGAACAATTAGGTTAGGTTAGGTTTTCCATCCGGATGAAAGAAGTTCATATGAACTTGCGTCCAAAAGTTTTTTATTTGGGAGTTATAAGAAATAGAACAATTAGGTTAGGTTTTCCATCCGGATGAAAAAAGTTCATATGAGCTTGCGTCCAAAAGTTTTTTATTTGGGAGTTACAAGAAATAGAACAATTAGGTTAGGTTTTCCATACGGATGAAAGAAGTTCATATGAACTTGCGTCCAAAAGTTTTTTATTTGGGAGTTACAAGAAGTAGAACAATTAGGTTAGGTTAGGCCAAGTTAGAGTAGAATACATTCCATTCAAAGGTCAACAATGGAAAAGGTTTCTGTAATCCTACATCCACAGATTCTTTACTCGATAATTATAACAACTCGAATAATTAGGTAGACAAATGATACCTTGTATGGTATACACAAAGTTTGTGTATAGAAGTGATTTGACACGATCCGCAGACGACAATTAAAAATCAATTAGTGTAACAGTCGTTAATTAGTATTTAATTATCTTTCACATTTGTATGATTGTGCAATTATCAAGCATGATTATTGTTGAAGTGTAGATATATGCATTATTGAGTGGTTTTATTGCAAGATATATGTTGGAAATATTAAAAAAGTAAAAATCTCATTAGCTATAGTCTGTGTTGAAGATTCGCCGTTCAAGGTCACTCTATCATTATGTTACAATTATTGCAGGAAAAATTTTAAGGGATGTTTCTATGAAACAGAAGTAAAATAAAAGGGAAGAGTAATAGAATTTTAATTGAGGTTTAATATTGTTGTGTTTAAATGTTTAGTGTTGAACCAAAAATTGATTGAAAAACAATATATAACTTCATCCTTTAAAGAAAGATAGTATACCAAGTACGATAATAATAATCCTTTCCGTGGAAAAATGTCTAAAGTGGTATTAACGACTTTCAATTGGAAGGTGTACAGTTCTCTTATACCTCACAATCGCATAATCGATTTCATTTCTACCACTCACTTTCAAGACACACCCAATTGCGCGTAATTATGCGAACAATTCCAATGTACTATTACAGTCACGAGTGACTGAAACCAGACCATAAACACAACACTTTCAAATAGTAAAAGTACTAATTCACAGCGTAGAAAAAGGAATATAAATAAAATAAAGAATAAAAAAATAAAAAATTGGAAACACTTGGAACCATATGTGACCTGCTGTTTTTTAAATGTCAATTTTTAAGCAATTTATTTCAAACACTCAAGCAAAAAATAGTACCTAATCGAAGTTAAAAACACTCTCAGCCGTAATTTCCTCCGTAAAAATAGTAAAAATTTATTTCAAGCTTATTCACAAAAAATTGTCCAATTAAAAAAATGGCACTTGCCTGTTCACTTTCTCCATAAAAATGGTACAAACACATTTCCAAAAATTTACTTTAGTCATTCCACTAAAAAATAGTCTCCAATCCAACCTAAACAAGTAACACTACTTCAACTACCACTATTAAATAACTTAGAACGCCTGGGAAGCCCCACAATGGTAAACGTACATAACCTTTAAAAAAAGGAAAAGTAAAAAAATTCACGTTTTCGGTACGGTCTAGTCGTAAACAAATAACACTATTTCTATTACCACTATTAAATAACTTAGAACGTCTGGGAAGCCCCACAAGGGTGAACCTACATAACCTTAAAAAAAGGAAAAGAAAAAGATTCCCATTTCACATTTTCGTTATGGTTTAGTCGTCTGTAACATAACCATTAATAGCATTCTTGAACTGGTGCCGATGACGGAAGTGCGTTCCTTGGCCAAACGCGGCGGCACGTGCAGCTTCGTTGCAACGCGCCAATTGCATAACGTTTTCGAATCGCGACGCGTAATCGAGCCGCCGTGCCACGCCGCGTGCAAGAATATCAATTAACGGGGCAAGGAGAAAACGCGACCGACCACAACCTGTGGCTTTCGATCACGCGACGCGTTCGCTATACACACAGTTAGACGTAGCCTGGGTTGCGTGTGTTCCTTATTTTTTAATACACTCGTAAGGAAGAGATCGAGATCGCCATAATAAGGTTAGATCTGTGAGTATACAGGGTGTCCAAGTAGTAGATCAATCAAAGGCTGATTCGTTGTGAAGAAACGAGTAGAAATGATAGTAGAATAAAATTTTTACATAAGAAGCTTTGTTTTGGGAAAAATTGATTTTGAAAATTCGTCTCACAGACGTAGAACTACCATTCATTATTTTTATTCGTAACAGTGTTACGAGAAATATTTTCAATTAATTTGGGGAATTAATTTATTACATCAGTCTCACGATATTTATAATTATCTATTAATTTTCTCGGTATAAACGTTATAAATTAATTTCCAAAAAGTTACTTTAGACATTCCATCAAAATCTCCAAATCAACTTAAAAAAGTAACACTGTATCTAGTACCACCATTAAATAGGTTAGAATGTCTGAATCCTCTCAAAAATGATTTTTTACAATATTCATTATTTCAGTCTTATCATTGTAAAAAATGGTATGCCTATTAATTTTAGAAAATCAATTTCCCCGAAAAGAAAGCTTCGCAAGCAGAAACCTTGATCTCTTGATTGCGCCACGATTATTGAGACACCTTGTATGTAGTTAAATGAAACTATCAGTGTAAGTAGTCTTAGGGGAAGATTAACGTTAGGAATTTCGATTAGGTTGGCATGCAACTGGTTGATCCAGAGGATTGGGAAACTAACAGTGAAAATAAGTGAAAATAACAGATTGCTAATAAAGCTGTCAATTATTCACGATTCAATTTGTGCTGTCTAATGAACTGCTCGAAGAAATCCAACAGAACTAGTATAATCGCGTTTTGATAGCTCACCGATAAGCCTGAAAATTGGGTCAAGAGAAATCTGCAAGAAAGGATATGATTTAAACCGTTATTTATTTTTTTTAGTTCTTGCTTCTCCAGTTCGATTGGTGGTTGAATTGAAAAAATTCGGAACATCGAGAGAAATTTAATTAACGCGTAGGTTATGTAAATATTCTTTAGGAGACATCCTTACCAGGGTTTTTCACCAGGAAAAAACGAACGCTACACCCGGAAAATGCGATGAACTGAATATTGACCAGGTGAAAGCAAGAGAAAATGCCTCATCGTAACGTTTTAATCAAGTGTATCAGATTTGAATAATTGCAAATAATTACAAAGCTGTTTATAGACACCTGGAACTTCCATTTTCAAGGTCCAGCTGAAAGTGAAGCGTATCTTGCTTAAAACTTATTTGGACGACTAGTTCTAGTTTGATGTTTATTGTATAAGTGGTGGCTAAATGAAGAATGGAGAATTTCATGATGTAGGGCACGGAGATCACAGATTATATCAGAAGTGACTTGTGACTAAGAATATCTTCAAGATTCATCAATTTTCTAATTATGTAATTACGTGGTTAGATATTTACTGTTTCAGCAATGGAACATCAGATAGGGAGTTACTAAAGAATAATCTAATAGAGAATATGTATTATTATAAATTGGACTAGTTATTAAAATAGATTGGATTATTTTGAAACTTCCAGAAATTATTTATCACAAAATGGCTTATATACTCAAATGGAGTAAATCTTTAAAAAAAGATAGCAAGAAAAATGTCCAAACTCTTTGCTGTAAAATTAACTGATAAAAACTGAATATTGAAGTGTACCAGGTATGAAGAAAAATCTGTTAACAGAGAGAATTATGCAAGCACCATAAATCTAGCTAATAGAATTAATTATGCACTATGAATCACACTATCAGAGAACTTTCTTTCAAAGTTCAGCAGTTGTTAGAAAAACTTCAACTAACAGAGAACCGTTCAGTATAAATCTGATTATCAGAATGGACTATCTAGTGGAAAATTGTGAATTCTATTATTCAACAGCTTGATGAACCACCTATCACAGGACTTTCTACCAAGGTACGCTCAACTACCATAAATCCAATTATCAGAATGAACCATCTACTGGGGAACAATGAATCTCACTGTTTACCCAGGATTAGTATGTAGCTTGGTGAACTATCTATTAGAGGATTCTTTTTTATCAAAGTACACTCTAGGTACTAATTATTCTATTTAGTCAACTATTATATATCACAAATTTAAGGTAGCAAACTTCCATCTACATATATTATGTATCACAATTTTAACCTAGCAAAGTGAATTACATATTTACCAGTGGAGCATCTACCAAAGTAAATCAGTTATGAAAAAATTTAATTACCAAAAATTTAAACAATCTATCAAAATACATTGTTCATAAAAAAAGCCTCACTAAACAATTATGCTTCCCTCATGAAAATTGGCCTGAAAATCTCATTCAAAGTGCATATGCAGTGAAAGAAAAAAGGAACGAATTGATGAAACCAAAGAATTCTTTACCCACAGTGAATCGTCGCCCACTAAAGAGTAATCTAACAAAGTGAATCAGTTTTCCTCGCGAAAACGATTTCCGCTGTTTCCACGTCTAATTCGCTGGAGAGGCCTCGATTCGATGGGCCAGAAGGACCAGCAGGGAAAAAGCAATTAATCTTACCGGAGAGAGGCGCGTAGACCGGAAACGGGGCGACGTAATCCGGTACCTCGTCCTCGTAGATTGGCTGATGATAGTAGCAACTATTGTTTGCAGGCCTGGCTGGTCCACAATACAATTCCTCCACGAAAGCAGGCGCGTCGTAGCCAGGCTCTCTCACCGACGTAGAATACCTGCAACGTTTGTCAGCCTCTTTTGCTACATGGTTTCTAAGTTATATCAAGGTTGAAATGCTACGATATTAGCCCTAATAAATGATTTTCTCCAATCAATAAAACATAATAAATTGATTGTAAGTAGACTGCGGATTTTTATGCACTCGTGGAAAATTTGAAGACACGAAAGTACACAGAATTGTGCACAATAAGCAAAAATGTATAAATAAACCGAAAATATGGTACTCGTTGTAATATTTAGTGAATAAAAAAATTGCCTATCTAGCTGCTATTTTTTTAAGTTATATTCATAAAAATACGAATTTGCATAAAAGTCCGCAGTTTAATTGCAAGTAATCAATTTTTCCTAAATTGGGCTTTCTGATGGTTTTGGTTGGTGCAACAATTGTTGGAGTTAGGCAGTGATGATTTCTGAGATACGTTGCGATTGAAATATTACAAACGACTGTTTTTTGCACAACTTTCTATAATTGTATCAAAACGATACATAGAAATAGATAGCTGATCAAACGATCGAGTTATCTAGAAAGTAACAGTCTTTTTCAATAATTCATGTGATTTGTTCGTAAACACAGGAATAATTTTATTCTATCATGCTTAGTGAACATCGAATAGTGGCGGTCTCTTAGCTTTCCTGATTTACACTTTCATTTTCGGTGGCTCTAATTCCCCCTGGGATGATGCTACGTATTTTGGAGAAAGTCTGTTGGAATCGTCTAAGAAAATGATACATACATTAAAAGAAGTAGTTGTGATATTCCTCGATCCGTTCGAAATTAATTCAACATTTTCTCTCGCACTTGAAACGAATAATTCGATCAGATACAGAGAAACATTTGTATATCTACCAGACAATGTATGATGAATAAATTCATAAATAACGAGACACCCTGTATACGTATTGTCCCAGAGAAAGTTTGTTAGAATCGTAGGATAAATTGTTAAGAAAAAACATCTACAAATTAGAATACAAGATTTATTCTTAAAAGTTGAAAGAAAGTAATCTACACATTAGGATCCAAAGATGGACAATTTAAGGTTAGGTACTATTCGATCTACAGGTCGTTTCATTTTTATCAAAACGTTCGAAATTAATTCCACAATATTTTTCACAGTTACGACAGATTTCTTATTCAAACGAATAATTTGATTAACAATAAAGATAAAAGGAAAAAAAGTAATCGTATTATCCGAGAAAAATTGACCAATAATGAAACACCCTGTATATTTATTTTGGAACCGTGTTGCACGACATTTGCCAGTCAGTCGAGTTTCAACACAAGCCCGAAACCAACAGAACGAACCGAGAAACGTCCTTTTAAAGGCAAGTCATGGTTCTCGCCGCTGGTAATCTTTATCTTTCATTTCTGGCGAGTGTTTTTTCGCTAAATTAGCCGCGGACTCGGGGGATTTCGCCTTTCACTAGGCCTGATACGAATGATCGATTTAAATGGTGTTCACGAGGTTCAATGCACCGTGCTGGATCGTTGATGGATGCCTATTACGATTAAAGGAAGTGTCTCTTTCCGGCAATTAAATTGCCGTGTAATTGTGTCCCATGCTGGCTCCAGCCACGTTGCGCAACCTGTTACACGCACGTTGTCTATTCTTTTTTCTTATTGTTTTCTTAAAAATAGCATGGATATGAGAAAAGAATTTTGGCTTTTGGCGAGAATGTTTTTATTTGATTTTTCTGCTCTGCGATCAATTTTGATTACGAAGTTGGATTCTGCAAGAATTGCATTTTTGATCTATCTGAATTTTGTAATTTTTTGTTTTTTTTTTTAGCATTGTGGATTTTGGATTCTTTGAAATTTGCAGCTTAATTTGCAAATTCTGTAAGTCAAATTGATTTAAAAAAACAAACAAACTGTGCACCTTTCGTGTATTAAAAGTTTGATGAATTTAGTAAATTTGCGAATTACTGAAATGCATTTTTTTTTT